AAGGGCCACCCCTGTACCTCCAGTGCCTGCACAGCACATGGCACGCAGTAGGCTCTTTGCTGAATGGATGGATGAAGTGACGGTATGACAAACATAAAGCTAAGCATGATGTTCAGGGAAGGAGGCAGCATTACAGTGCACATTTTATGGCCAAAAGAGAGTTACTTGCTGCTGATTCACCAAATGAAACGACAAGGCTTAGTGAGTGCCTCCCCTGGGGCTTGTGATGGCAAAAGTGCTTCTGACAAAGCAGAAAAGGTGCCCAAGCTCTGCGACTTAGGACAGACTTTGAACAAGTCCCACAGACCTTTTCCCCGGAGAATTTTCCATGTTGAAGTGTCTGTGAAGGTGACCAGCATCGTGAGGTACAGTGTGATGAGTCTGGATTCTTGTAGGATTTCAGGCTGGAAACAAGAGGAAGGTTAAGACACACACACTCCAGTCCCAGACAGTGAAGCAACCATTCTGTAATTTTGCTGAGTGTTCTTGGGCTCAAGTTGTGAGTCAGGTTATAAGTACGTCTTCTTCTTCTTTGTCTCTTAGGGGATGACCACTGTCAGGAGTTTAACGACAGGGATTTTGACCCACGAGTGATTGCCTACGGAATCTAAGTACTCCCGGAATGGAGCGCTGAGGCTCCTGGGAAACAGGTGACCAGCGCTGGCCTGCTGGTTTTGCGTGCATTAGGAGCATGTGTATGCTCAGCCGTTCCCTGGAGCAAAAGAGTGGAAATGCAGTCGAGCATAACAGGGACCCTGGGTTCAGACTTCTGCCTTTACCACTTCCTAGCTCTGTGACCGTGGGCAAGTTTCTTAACCTTCTGTGCCTCTGACTGCTCATCTGTTGACTAGGGACAGTATGGCTGTGGTAAGGAATAAACAATTCATGTACATAAAGCACCAAGAGCAGCGCCCTCCCAGCACAAAGGTAACTCTGCAACACTGGCTGTTTTTATACACTGTTTCACAAGAGCAGGCTGGGAAAGGTCCGATTCCTGTCTAGGCTCAGAAACTTAGCATGAGCACTGCAAGGGATCCTGGAGACCAGCTAGTGATGGCGAACCTATGACACGCGTGTCACGCGAACCCGTTTTTTTTGTTTGATTTTTCTTCGTTAAATGGCATTTAAATATATAAAATAAATATCAAAAATATAAATCTTTGTTTTACTATGGTTGCAAAGATCAAAAAATTTCTATATGTGACACGGCACCAGAGTTAAGTTAGGGTTTTCAAAATGCTGACACGCCGAGCTCAAAAGGTTTGCCATCACTGATAGTTGAAAGCTCTAATCTCACAGAGAATGAGCGAAGGGAAGTGCCTTGTTCAAGGCCACATGAGGAATCGGGAGCAGACTGAGGACTACATTTAGATATTCCCGGCTTTAGATCTGGTGTTCTTTTCTCCTAATGTGTGTTTCTCTGCATGAACTTTAAAAAAATATTTTTCAAAGTAGAAGTGCCTCTTCTCAAGGAGAAATCCATTGTGGAATGCAGACGCAGCCAGCAGGTAATAGAGAAGACCACTGCTCCGATGCCTCGAGAGGGATGGCTGGGAACAGATCCCTGGGAGCTCTGCTGACATTCACGCCATCGCTCAGCTGCTACCCAAGTCCTTGCCAAACCTCTGTCCCGGAAACTACATCCTAAAGGCCCCAGGTGGGAAGGATACATTTACAGTGTTTCATTTTACCTTGAGCTGCTCAAGAAACTCACAGCAGTGCCACAGCAGGTCCTTGATCTGTTTAATCCATAAGAGGGTGAGATCCTTGGAAAGAGCCAGGGACACATACCACACCTACAAGCAGGAGAAAGAGAAATGTAATGGGCAGTTACAGGGATCAGTTTACATACGATCTAGCTACTGGCCAGTGCCAGGTAAGGCGATGAGAACCAATGGACAGATAAGCAGCCAATAAGGCTTAATTTAACCCTACACCCACCCTCTTACCTTGGGTTCATTCTCAGCATCCATACTGCTCAGGATGCAGCGACACAACTTTTCAAATCTCTGCAGAGAGGCAGAAGGGGGGGTCATAAATTCCAGCAACTGATAAAAATGGGAAAGAAGCAAATGTTTGGTGGGCACCTGGCATGTGTAGGCATTATGCCCGAAGACTCACAGCGAGTCTTACAGACATGGGAACTGAGGATCAAAAAGGTATAGAAAGGCTCTCAAACTGGGGGTCCACTGACTCGATGAGCCCTACATTTCCTTTAGAAACGTGTATTTCACATAAAAATCCGGGTTGGTGCTCCTTTTGAAAAACAAACTCAACTGGCACCCTGGGCGTGGACCCCTGGTCTCCTAGCAGCTGTCTCCTAAATCCTCCCCCGTTTGCCATTCTGTAAGCATCGTGGACACTGACTTCTGCCTCACAGGCTGTTGTATCATAGTCTGTTATCCTGAAATGCAAAAGGGAGAAAAATGGAAGCTGAAAACCAGACCACACTGTGGCAGTCCCAACCCTGGACCCATCCTTAAAAGTGGTGTGGTCCTGGGCGGCAGCCCCATCACTCCGAACCGCTTCCTCCTCTGTAACCGAGGTCGCCTCACCGAGCCTGCCGGTCCTCACCTACGTGAGGTGTGCTCACTGCCCATGTGCTCCGTCTCCTGCTGGGCTCCCAGCTCTCTAGGGTAGAGACCTTGCCCATCTTTTCCTTCTGGAACCCCAGTGCCTACCAGATGGCCTGCCACGAGGTGAGACTTAGCAAAAATGAACGGTAACCCCTGATCACCCAGAGGCATTCCTCAATGGCATTGTTAGTACTATTACAGATGACTAGCTATTTCCTGGAACTGTATTTTCTGGGCTAATTCTAACCCCAAAGGTACAACCAGTATGTTTTGTTTGGTTTGCAGGATCTAAAAGGAATTTGAAATTAGCTACCAATTCTTACAAATGAGAAAACTGAGCATAAAGAAGCCTAGGATCTCTTTTAAAAAAAATCAGGGTCTCCGAAACCGGTTTGGCTCAGTGGATAGAGCGTCGGCCTGCGGCCTGAAAGGTCCCGGGTTCGATTCCGGTCGAGGGCATGTACCTGGGTTGCGGGCACATCCCCAGTGGGGGATGTGCAGGAGGCGGCTGATCGATGTCTCTCTCATCAATGTTTCTGACTATCTCTCTCCCTTCCTCTCTGTAAAAAATCAATAAAATATATATAAAAAAAAAAATCAGGGTCCACCCCTGGCTGCAGAGTAGAGGCTGTGCCTTCTGGATATAGATACACCAATGATGAGAGAGAATCACTGACCAGCTGCCTCCTGCACACCAGAAGGGGATCCAGACCAAAATCTGGGAATGTGCTCTGACTAGGAA